CTTTTTCCCCTTTTGCATGTGCGTTTCTCTCACTGTTGGTTGTTTTTCTTTTGGTTCTTTGGTTTGGATTTGCTTCGGCTCTCGTGTTATTTGGTTGTGGTTTGTTACTCAGATGATGTTTGGTATTGTTTCCCGTGGGTACTGTGTTCACTTGTGGGTTCTCTCTCTTTTGGCTTCGTGTTTTTGTGGTTGTGTTGACAGAGTGTTGTACTGGCTCTCTCGATGATCGTTTGGCTTTTTCTTTTGTCTGTTATGGTCGATGATGGTCACTGTGGGTTTACTGTTGGCTCGGTTTATGTTGTGTGATTTCTGTGACTCGATAATATTGGATGTGTTCCTTTTCTTTCCCTTGGCAGTGGCTTGGGGGGTATTTATACCCCCACCGGTGGCCCGTCGGTTCCGAAATAAGGGCGCTCGTGGCCGTTGTGGTCGGTCACCCCGTGATGGGTCAGTCCCGGGGATTTCGGCCGATCGTTGGTACTGTTGACCGTTCATCTCCCTTGTTTTGTGGTGTTGTTGAAACTGATATCATTCAGGGTTTTTAAACCCTAAACTTATCGGGCTGGATCAGGCCCATCTTTGTTTGGACTCTGACCGTGACTTGTTGGACTGGACAGTTGACCATTTGGACTGGACAGTTGACCATTTGGACCTGAAACGGAAAAAAAATAAGTAATAAAAAAATAATAATAAATAGCGATAATAATAATAATAAATAAATATAAAACTATATAATATACATTTTTAAAACTGTTTCTTTTTATAAACTATATACTATATATAAATTTTCAATTTTTTTTAAAAATTATATAATTTTCAAAAAAATATTTTCAAAAACTATATAATTTTTAAAAATATTTTAAAAATTATATATTATATATCAGTTTTCAAGAATGCTTTAAAAAATTATATATTATATAAGTTTTCAAAAAATGATTTTAAAAACCATATATTATATATTTTTTCTAAAATGTTTTAAAAATTATATATCATATATATTTTAAAAATGTTTTCAAAATTATATATCATATATATTTTCAAAATGTTTTCAATATTATATAATATATACATATATATTATAAGTAAAATAAAATAAAAATGGCAACAAATAAAAAAATATGGACGAAAATGAATATCTACACGAAGTATAAACGAAGAAAATATCCTTATAACCCTATGTTATTGTTTAATAATTTTTTTAAATTTTATAATTTAATTAGTATTATTTTATTCATAATAAAATGGAGTTTATGTTAACATAAATTGATGGAATGCAAGAAGTGACCTCTGCAAAATGATGGTAGTTGACGATTAGATGTGATTACCCCCTTTTAACCGACTTATATTATATTATATTATATAAAAAGCACTCTACGTAATTAGGTTAATAAGGACAAAATTGAATATTTGAATTTTAGAAGAGACTGAAAATGTAATAGCCCTAATTAAATACACCTTTCACAATGAACAGCCTCTATTAGTTTATGCAAATATAAGAATCGGACTGATAATTTGTATGCTATAAATTTGAATGTAAAATTACAATTACTTTATTATTTAATTATATTTTAATGAATTACTTCCCATGTAAAAAATAAAAAACAAAACAAAGTAGTTATATATGAATTATTATGTGATACAAGACAATGTAAAATTTATTTTATGTTACCTATTTATTTTAAGGGTAAATTATATATTTACTCACTTAATTTTATTTTTTTCCTATTTTATTAATTATATATTTTTGTATTTTTTAATTTACTCGTTGAACTTTATATATAAGATTTTTTTATTACTTTGTCGTTAACTTTATAACTCTATTATAATCTGGCTTAATTGATCATTTTTAACAATTAAAATATAAGGTAAACTATAGCATTGACTACTTAACTATTTAACCTTTTTACTTTCGTCATCGATCTTTTAATTTTTTTCAATTAGACCACCTAGCTATTTAATTGTAGTCAATCAAGCCATTAACCGTTGACGGAAATGCTGATGTAGCAGTTAAATATTTTGGTATAATTCAATATATGGTCCTTATTGTTTATATATCCTTTCAATTTAGTTATATTTTTTATAAATTAAAATAAATTTACTCCTCCAATCAAATGGTGCCACATCATTGACATCTGTCACGCTCTCATTGGAAAAAAAAAACAAAGTAAAATTGGGGCTAGGAGATTTGATCTAGGGGTTGAGGGGAAGATAATAACAAACCCAACCACTAAGTTAAGTCCAAACATTAGTTTAAGATAGACAACATTCTGTCTATATTTTATATCTTTGTGTATAAATATTTAACTTAAATTAATAATATTTATATATCTTTAAAAATATATTTTATTTTTATCTTAAGTTATGAAATATATTTTAAACCAGAGTCACCCTAATTTTGCTTGGATTGGTTTCTTTAAACAAGAGTCGCCCTCATATTGGTGGAAAAATATTTTAAATTAAAATAAATTTAATCATCCAATTAAATGAGGTCACTAATGGCATGTGATCCTATTTGATTAGATGAGTAAATTTATTTTAATTTATAAAAGGTATGATTAAATCAAAATCATATATAAACAATAAGAATCATATATGTAATTATATCAAAATATTTAATAGCCACATCAACATTTTGTCAACTTAAAACGACTAATTTGATTGACTATAATTAAAAAATTAAATAATTAATGTAAAGTTTACCCTAGAATATATGTTCAAAGAGAGAGAAAAATGGGATCATCTACTTCCTTTATATCTTGTAATTCTTCATGCTTCAGTTCTTTCTCTTATAACGCTAAAATGGTTAATAAAAAATAAAGAGAAACAAAAACCCACTAAAAATGGCAGGGGATTGAGAAATTCATTTGATTCCTATATGTTAAAAGATTCATATTATTTTCTTAAAGTCCCGGGCTCAACTTAATCATAGCAACCAAATTTTCAATTCAAGATCTCATTAATTTATCTTAGTGGTGAAAGCCCTTAAATTTGTAAATGAGTTGGTTAGGAATCGCTTTTTTCTTTTTCTCAAAACCCAAAGAATAATTAGAGACGGAGGAGCTTACAGTTTGTCGGAGTACAGCAGAGCCAAAAGAGCTCCTTTTTTTCAGCTCTTGCTTCTCTAGTGCATTCAATAACGATTAAACTCAACACTATCAAGGTGATTTTCGAGGCTTGAAGTTTGAAAATTGAATCCACTTAGTTGAGAAAAGATTTGAATTTTTGAAAAAAAAAACCTTTTTGTGATGAATTTTTAGCTTTATTTTTCTAGGTGTTATCTCAGTTCTAGTGGGTTTGATGCATCTTTCATTGTGGACACCCATAGCTCACTGTATTGTTTTCCCGGCGACAGCAGAGAAAACAAAATGGCGCGAAAAAGAGAAGGGGAAGAGGAAATGGCATGTGCCCCACTATTGGGATAATAAAATATATAAAAATAATATTAATTAATTAAATATAATAATAAAAAAATCATAGAATTAGAGGGGGAAAAACCGTGGATTGATAAAAAAAATCAATGAATAAAATTTAGTTAGTAAATTAATAAACTTAAAAGTACAATTAGTGAAATATGAGAAAGAATAAAGTTGGAGTGTAAATTCGTAATTTACCCTTGAATAAACTATTGAATTTTACTTTCTCATATTTCACTCAATGTACTTTTAATTTTTTTAATTTATTTACTGAACTTTTGAATTTCTAGTATTTTGGTCACTACAAATTATTTTATTGTTATTATGATATGATGTGATTTTTTTATTATTTTTAAAATATAAAAAATGATTTAAAATAAATAATAAAATAATATTTTATTATTATTAAATTTAAAAAAGATTTAAAATAATCATCTCCCTTTCCGCTCCTTTCTTGTCACTGTCAAGCATCATTGACCTTTGGAACTAGCAACTGTTTGATCTCAAATTGTATCGTGGGACTCGTTTTGACACTCTGACTCTGAATCTGGTGGTTGTTTCGTCAAAAATATTCCAAAACCTGTGAATCTCAACTGAAATATTTCGATTCCCTCACTTTCGATCTCCTATTCATGGACTTCGAAGCATGTTCTAATAAAATGGAGGTCGGGTTTAGACTCAGAGGTCGAGACGAAACAACCCATGAAATCTAGGACCGAACGAACACCATCTACGAAAGTCGATGTTTCAGTTTTCTCACCTTTGATTGGATTCAAAGCATGTTCCGATAAAATGAAAGTTAGATTCAGACTTAGGGGTAGAGAAAAAGCAACTGATGAAATATGAGACCAAACAACTGCCACCTATGACCGTCGATGATGACATCCAACGACAACAAACAGTGAACGATCACCATATATATTTTAAATTATTTTATATTAAATAATAACAAAAATACCACAAACATACCAAAATAATAATAAAATAATTCTGTGACCAAAACATAAACATTTCAAACGTACAGTAAGTAATTTGAAAAAAAATAAAAGTACAATAAATAAAATAGGATAAAGTAAAGTTCAATGAAAAACGATATAGTTTACTCGAAAAAATAACATTAAATAAACTCATTATGTAAAATAGATTTTACACAATTTATATATCATACTAATTTCCTATATATATATATATATATTTCCTCGAATTTTGCTTAAATATTACATATATACTTCAAAAAGGATAGAGTTTAGACAATGAGTACATAATATATTCCCAAACATGAGATTGTGAAGGGTGTCAACATCATGCACTATGGTCCACTGGATCTAAGAATATCAAGTTGTTGCCACTGCCCATCTGTGAATTTGTTGAGAAATTGACCTAAGAAACTGACATTACAATTCAGGCATTTCGACCTTCAACCAATTTGCTCAGATTTTTCTTAAATCATAATTATGTTCTACATGTTGTATTTATATAAGTTTTGACATTAAATATAAATATCCGTATCCAACACTCAAACTAGAATGTCACCATTTTGGAGAGTGAGGAAACAGGGTTGGAAGAGCATAGTATCTGTTTTACTTTCTATCCCAAACCACTGTAGCAATAGACCATTTTGATGGCCTCTTCTTCCATCTCCACAAGTTGGAGACAAAAGGACTCGACTTCCCGAGCCTCTTCTTTGAACGGGATCCGGAATTGCTTCCAATGGTATTCATTTTCTTCATCCTCGGGAGCTTTACCACGAACCTTCCCTAGGACGTCGAAGCCCTTACGATCAAACGAGAGCATGTATGCAACCTACAAAGAACGATTAGTCAGTTATCAGACCACAGCAATCCGAAGCTATATGCAAGGATATGCAGCTTATAATGGTGGAATTCAAAGCCTTAACTATATAATCTCATACATTTGGTCAATCCATGCTTAATGAGGACACAATACAGTGGATAACAACATCGAATACGTGAGGTAGCACAGAGAAAGTAGAAGTACCAAATCAAAATTGAAAAAGATAGTAAATCTTACTCTTGCATTTATGTTCAAGTATATGAAACAAAAAAGGGTCAGTCCTCTGCGTCGAGCCTCGCTTTGATTAATGCCATCAATGAGCTTAGCAGAATAAGGTTCTATAAAAGAAACAAATTGAAGATAAATGTCAAAATAAGGTGCTATAAATGAAACAGATCGAAGATAAATGTCAAAACTTCGTGGTCGTAATTCCATGCCAGAACTATCCATAAGATAGAGCATTTAACTATTTTTCCAGCAGTGACGTCTTACCTAGCAAATTTGCTTTACATTTTTCCATGTTTTCTAAGTCTACTTCACGAGTTCCTCCATTGCCATCAACAAACATGCAAGAACTGTACAGAAGATATTTCATTTCAGATGAAGTTTGCATTTCATGTGTCTCTTTTTGTTTTCCCCTTCTCTCAAACTAAACTTCTTTCTGATCATTTATATTCTAAATCTATCATGCGAAGAGATTACAATATTTAAATGCAATTACTCGACCCAAATCAAAATCGAACAGGAAACTACTGTAACATGAAAGGTTCAGTGCATAACAGAGGGATCCCTATTGGATTCTCATTCAGAAAGCATTTCAACCAACCATTACTTAATCAGCAAAAAATAACATGTAATGTAATGTCTCGAATAGAAAACATCATTTTTAAGAAAATGCCAAGCTACGGACAACTTCGTTTATGAATCTTTTTTTTCATTATATGGTTTAATACCACCCTTTCCTGATTCGGCAAAGAAGCCAAACAAGCACCACTGCCACTAGGGTTCATGTGATGACAATTTTCTACATTTACAGTACGATAGATTAACAACCTCGGTGGAAGTTTATACCTCAGATTGAACTTATAGATCACATATTTTTCACCCCCGTCAATCAGCTCCTTGAGGTTCTCGCTTCGAGAAGTGGAAAAGTGATCAGAGGAACTTAATACACCAGAAACTGCATAACTAAATTCTTTAACTGCTTTCTCCTCAGCGAGCATGACTTCTTTAACGAATTCTGCAAGGGATTGAGCCTATAACATGAAAAAATTAATAAAGTTGACATCCATTCAAAATATATATTCAATCTAGATTATCACGATTATTACTTCCGAATAAACGTTTAATTTTTCCTGAATGAGTATAAAAAAAGTATCTTAACAAATATAATACTCAGGAGAAATCAGTCCTCATAATGTTAAAATATCAAGTGACGGTGGCATACTAATCGTTTATCGTTCAACAAACTAGAATCCCCAAAAGTATTTATACTCTGATCTCCAGTGGCAGATCTATGACTATGTGTAAGCCAGGGTAGGCACGTCCAAATTTTGTTATGTTAGTTCTTGATTTTAGTCACGGTGCCCACCTTGTAAATTTATTTGTGTCTACTCTATACGAAAAATTTCTAGTATTAATAGATATGTGCCCACTCTGAAAAAAAATTTGGGATCCGCCACTGCCGATCGTTAGAAGTATCTTTATTAAATGATGTATAATCACCTTTTTTTGCAAACATTTGGTTTAAGCTAGGACAGAAAGTCTTATCTTGGTTCCTTTGATACTATATGCCCAGGAACATTAGGAAAATTAGAAAGCATAAAGAGCATACTATTTACTGAAACCGGAATAAGTATTTGACCAGCTTACTCTGTTTCTCTGGAGTCTCAACATACAATGAATACTTAATATGAACGTTTCCGCAGACAATGGTTAATCCAATTTTACCCTCTAAAAGTATACATGCAGACACAATTGCATTACCATGGTGTGTTTAGTTGCAGCAGCATAATCCTGGGCATATACTCATAGCTGTATGAAATTCCAATGATCAAGTCAGTTTTCTAAATAGAATTACATTTTTATCTGTAAGAGGAACAACATCCCCAGTTAGAGCGACCCGAACCGGAAACTGCAGCAAGGAAATATAGCAAATTACACCATCGCTTTTGCTTCAATTCGAAAATACATGCTTAACACAATTGTCAAATTATATGCTACCAAAAGAAAGGAAGTGACCTATAGAGACTAAATTACTGCTTAATGTTGAAAGTAAAAAAAAAGTGGTCAATTTTCGGTGCATTAATGTACCGAATTTGGCAACAGCAAAATTTAAAATTTACTAATGCAATTTGTTTGAAAAATTGGCATGGGAAAATTGCTCATTTAGTCCTTATACTTTATGGTATTTATAAGATTAGTTTTTAAGCTTCAACTATAAATACCCTAACCCATTTATCTTCAAAACCATCCCAAATCATTCTAGCATTCTCCTAATACTAGAGAAATTAGAGAGTTTTCTTGAGAGTTATTTTCTTTTTTTTTTATCAAGAGAGAATTATCATTGTTTTCTCCTTATTAGATCGAAAGAAGTTGTAATTCCTATTTTTCGATACTGAAATTCTTCTACATTTGCCCGTGATTTTTACCATATATTATTTAGGAGTTTTCCACGTAAAATTTGTTTATTTTTTATCTTTATTTTTATTTTCTCAAATTATCAGTTGCAATTTTGTTCTATTCGATAGCCGTATTACGCAATAATTGCTATCAGAGCCAAATTTAAGTGTGTAATATCTACTTATTATCTTTGTGGTTGCCATCAAAAGGTAGATCCTCCAACATAAGAAAGTAAGAATGTATTACACATTCTTTGAAGGTTCCAGAGAACTATTCACGATAGTGAAATAGTGTGAGCTATCCGTAATAGAAGCTATGGCAACAAAATTTGATATTGAAAAGTTCAATGGGAGAAATTTCTCATTGTAGAAATTGAAGATGAAGGTCATCCTGAGGAAAGATAGTTGTCTAGCGGCTATCAGCGAAAGACCGATAGATTTTACAGATGACAACAATTGGAATGAGATGGACGGGAATACTATGACAAACCTTCATCTAGCATTAGCAGATGAAGTATTGTCAAGCATTGAGGAGAAGAAGACAACCAAATAGATATGTGATCATCTCACCAAACTGTACGAGGCCACATCGTTGCACAATAAAATTTTCCTTAAGAGGAAATTGTATACTCTCAGGATGCCAGAATCTACTTCAGTGACGGAACACTTAAACACACTAAACACTTTATTTTCTTAGCTTACATCCTTAAGTTATACAATAGAAGAACAAGAACGTGTTGAACTTCTACTTCAAAGTCTACCTGATTCGTATGATCAACTCATCATCAACTTGACAAACAGTAATGTCACCAGTCTAGTCTTCGATAACGTTGCAGCTGTTGTTCTACAATAAGAAAATTGACGCAAGAGCAAGGAAGACATACAAGTAAATTTGCAACAAACAGAAGCGTTGACAATATTAAAAGGGAGATCAACATAACGTGGCCAAAGCAAAAGTCATAAACCTATTAGAGAATCAAGAAGAATTTAAAGTCCTACAACTGTGGAAAGAATGGTCACTTGAAGAAGAATTGTTGGAGTCTAGGTAAAAAATCCAATCCACAAGGCAATACCATAAACACTTCAGATGATGGAGATGCTCTATGTTGTGAAGCGTCAACCACCGTGGAAGGTATAAATAGATTTGTAGATATACGACTCATTGATTCCGGAGCAACATATCACATGACCTCAAGAAGAGAATGATTCCATCATTATGATCCTGTCTTAGGAGAATCTATGTATAGTTTTAATGATCATGACTTAGAGATCATTGGTGTTGGAACCATCAAATTAAAGATGTATGATGGAACAATTAATATTGTCCGAGATGTACGGCACGTGAAAGGTCTGAAGAAAAATTTATTATCCTATGGATTATTGGATAATAATGCAAGGAAGATTGAAACGCAGAAAGGAATAATGAAGGTGTTCCATGGAGAGTTTGTGGTGATGAAAGACGAAAAGATTGCAGCAAACTTGTACATGCTGAAGGGAGAGACTTTGCTAGAAGCAGAAGCCTCTATTACCTCATGTAGTTCAGATTCTGTAATGTTGCGGCATCAAAAACTTGGACACATGTCAGAACAAGGAATAAAAGTCCTTGAGGAGCAAAAGCTACTTTCAAGCTTAACAAATGTATCACTTGCTTTGTATGAGCATTGTATAACAAATAAGCAGCATCGGTTAAAATTCAACACATCAAATTCTAGAGGAAATAGTGTTTTAGAATTGGTTCATTCTGACGTATGGTAAGCACCAGTTACATCCCTAGGCGGAGTAAAATACTTTGTCTCATTTATTGATGACTATTCTAGGAGATGTTGGGTGTACCCTATTAAGAAAAATCATATGTGTTTTCAACTTTCAAAAACTTCAAAGCGCGGGTGGAACTTGATTTTGGAAATAAGATCAAGTGTTTTCGAACAGAAAATGAAGGAGAATACACAAGTGAAGAATTTGATGACTTTTATAGAAAAGAATGCATCAAAAGACAATTCACAGTGATGTACAATCCTCAACCAAATGGAGTGACAGAGCGGATGAACAAAACATTGTTGGAAAGAATAAAAGCAATGTTAAGGGATGCATACCTAGAAAAATCATTTAGGGCAGAAGCAGTCAATACTGCCTGTTTTTTTTTTGTGAATTGAGCTCCATCAACTGCAATAGAGTTGAAGACACCAATAGAGATGTGAACTGGTAAACCAACTGATTATTCAAACGTCCATGTATTTGGAAGTATTGTGTATGTGATGTACAACTCCCAAGAAATTTCAAAGTTGGATTCAAAATCCAAGAAATGCAAATTCTTGGGGTATGTTGATGGAGTAAAGGGGTATCGCTAATGCCCGCAAAGTGATCATCAACAGGGATGTTATCTTTGCAGAAGATAAACTACAAAGAAAATAAGAAGATGGTAGCACTGAAAAGTCAGAGACTACACAGATACATATAGAAAAGAAGTTTGAACAAGGAGATTCTTCTAAAGAAGAACCATCACATAATGAACAAGAACCAGAGAGTTCTGAAGCTCCAACAACTCGTCAATCATATCGTGTGAAAAGACGTCCCAATTGGTACTCAGATTATATTATAGAAGTAAATATTGCATACTGCCTTTTAACAGAGGACGGTGAGCCATCAGCATTCCAGGAGGCAATAAACAACTCAGATGCTTTACAGTGGATGATGGCGATGCAAGAAGAAATTGAAGTTATTCATAAAAATAATACATGGGACCTTGTGCCACTACCACAAGGAAGGAAGTCAATTGGTAACAAATGGTTCTTCAAAATCAAGCAAAATGGTAACGATCAAGTGGAGAGGTATCGTGCAAGACTGGTGGTCAAAGGATATGCTAAAAAAGAAGGTATTGATTTCAATGAAATCTTTTCTCCCGTGGTTCGACTAACAACTATTCGAGTAGTCTTGGCAATGTGTGTTACATTGAACTTACATCTAGAGCAGCTAGATGTTAAAACAACTTTTTTTCATGGAGATCTTGGAGAAGAGATTTACATGCTTCAGCCTGAAGGTTTTGAAGAAAAAGAAAAGAAGAACTTAGTTTGCAGGTTGAACAAATCTCTGTACGGACTAAAACAGGCGCCGAGGTATTGGTATAAGAGATTTGATTCCTTCATTGTGTGCCTTGGATATAACAGACTTAATGCAGACCCTTGTGCTTATTTTAATAGGTTTGGTGATAACAATTTTGTTATATTGCTATTGTATGTGGATGACATGTTGGTTGCAAGCCCCAACAAAGATCATATTGAAGAATTGAAGGCACAACTGGCTAGGGAATTTGAAATGAAGGGCTTGGGATCAACAAATAAGATTCTAGGGATGCAAATTCACCAAGACAGAATTAATAGGAAGATTTGGCTTTCATAAAAGAATTACTTGAAGAAGATCTTGTCACGATTCAACATGCAAGATTGTAAGTCAATTTCTACTCCTCTTCTTATTAACTTCAAATTATCCTCTAGTATTAGTCCTAGTAGTGAAGAAGAGAGGATGGAGATGTCTCGAGTACCATGTGCATCGGTAGTGGGAAGTTTAATGTTTGCTATAATATGCATAAGACACAAGCAGTAGGAGTGGTTAGTCAGTACATGGCGAATCCAGGCAAAAAGCATTGGAATACAGTAAAGATGATCTTGAGATACATCAAAGGGACCTCAAATGTAGCACTATGTTATGGAGGATTAAACATACTTATCAATGGGTATGTCGATTCTGACTATGCAGGGGATTTGGATAAAAACAAATATACTATAAGATATGTGTTCAAAGTTGCTAGTGGAGCTGTAAGCTGGGTTTCAAAATTGCAGTCAGTTGTGGCTACGTCAACAACAGAGGCAGAATATGTAGCAGCTACACAAGCCAGTAAAGAAACAATCTGGTTGAAGATGCTATTGGAGGAGCTCGGGCACAATCAAAAGTATGTCTCTCTATTTTTTGACAGTCAAAGTGCCTTACATCTAGCAAGGAATCCAACATTTCATTCAAAGACAAAACACATACAAGTTCAGTATCATTTCGTTCGTGAAAAGGTGGAAGAAGAGACGATAGATATGCAGAAAATCCATACCATAGACAACATAGTAGATTTCATGACAAAGGCGGTCAATTTTGATAAATTTACTTGGTTTCGATCCTCTTATGGCCTGTCAGAGATGTAAGCAACATGAATGGTACAAGGTAGAAAGAATGGTGTGAAGATATGATTGTTCCAATCAAATTTTCAAGTGGAGATTGTTGAACAAATGACCAATTTTTGGTGCATTAATGTACCGAATTCCGCAATAGTAAAATTCAAAATTTACTACTGCAATTTGGTTGAAAATTGACATGGGAAAATTTCTCATTTAGTCCTTATACTTTAGAATATTTATAAGATTAGTCCTTAAGCTTCAACTATAAATACTCTAACCCATTTAGCTTCAAAACCATCCCAAATCATTCTAGCTTTCTCCTAATAATATAGAAATTAGAGAGTTTTCTTGATAGTTATTTTCTCCTTTTTTATCAAGAGAGAATTGTCATTGTTTTCTCCTTGTTAGATCGAGAGAAGTTGTAATTCCTATTTTCTGATAGTGAAATTCTTCTACCTTTGCCCCTGGTTTTTACCCTATATTATTTAGGGGTTTTCCACGTAAAATTTGTGTCTTCTTTATCTTCATTTTTATTTTCTCAAATTATAAATTACGATTTTGCTCTATTCGATAGTCGTATTGCGCAACACTTACAGGAAAAGAAAAGTTGATGCAGACACCAACCTTGTTCATTGATTTGAGTAATTTTCCAAGAGGCCCGGGGAACGGGCTGGCTACGGAAAACGAGCCACGTTCATCAACTATAGTATTCTGTGTGCAAGAAGGAAATAATGAAATAAATAAGAATTCAGTCGCCATGGTGGACAGTTCCTCGAAGTTCTAAGAACTAAAGCAAACGAAAAGCGTATGTTCTACATTCACACGTGTTTCAATTTTCAAGACCGGCGAACATTTCGAGAAATGAATTTAAACTTTATATAAACAAGTACAAAGGGTAACGTTTTACCAAAAAGAGAACATGTATGCTTGAACTGTTCAACATGTGACACAAATAAATACATTAGTTTTCCATATAGTGCATCAACCAAAGGAAGAATAAACAGTTGAACAATGTCATCTAGTCTAGTCCTGAAATGAGTACAAACTGCCCCCGACATGTATAAAAGAATACAAATCTATGGCCTATTTTTCCTCCAACTCTTCATGTCCTTTTAAGTATCCATATCTGACACAATTTTGAATACGTGTACGAGCATATGACCTTCCAAGGACCCTCCCTTATTCGAAGATGCATTTGGGGGACACATACCCTTATTTGACACTTACAGCCGAGTCCAAATGACATAGAATACGTGGCCACAAGGTACTTGAACATTAAGGCAACATTACAAAAAAAAAAAAACAAAGTAGAGCCATAGCAGCAAGAGAAACATACCACATTATACAAGTCATGTTCTCTTAACTACAGATGTCTGGCAATGCTCTTTTATCCATCTTATCTCGGTTAATCTTTACTCCTATTGGTTGATTGCAATAGAGAATTATCTTCTTATACCTTCATCAAAAGTTATAGATTTTTTTTATTAATTTTCTTATAAAGATTGTTGATAATCTTTTTTAGTTTGAGACAATTTGATCATAAATTGAGCTACTTAATTAGAGGTGCCCCCAAAAAAGTACTTATTAATTCTGATTTGCATATATTTTAGGTTGATAAGGACAGAGTTGCCAACTGGGTTTTATCATTTCAAGCTCGTCCGAGAAGTCGAGCCGAACTGAAAAATGGTTTGGCCATTGTTTTAATAATGTTGTCTTGTTTTGTTTCCTGTTGATGCTTCATTGTGCTTTTGATATATATAAGGAGGATATTTTTTTGTAGGACAATTTTACGGGTTTCATGGTTCTAGGACTTCACAGTTCCCTCGGGATGAAAATGGGGTATGGAAAAAGTCATTATATTGCTTTTTATTCATTAATTGTTTGGTTTAATTGTTTTTTCCGTTTATTCTGCATATAGGTTGAAGTTCATAATGCTGATCACTTGGCGAGCACGTATTGTATCATAGCCATACTAAAGACGGTTGGCTTTAATCTCTTGACCATAGACAAAGAATCAATATTGATATCAATGAGGAATCTTCAACAGCCAGATGGAAGGTATGCTTCAAAGTATTGTCCATCTACTTTTCTGGTTGTAAGGGCAATCAATTATCAATGTCTATTGATGATATTCCTGTGCACCAATGTAGAATAGAAAGGGAAGGGGCAAATTTTTTTTTCTTCCTTTCAAATTCTTATGGGATAGATCCAGTAGACTGTTTACTTTTGCATGAAGCTATTAGTTTTGTTTCTCTTGATCTTGCAGTTTTATGCCGGTGCATGTTGGTGCAGAGACAGATCTTCGATTTGTATATTGTGCTGGTAAGAACTGAAAGCATTACCACTAACAGTTCAAGCTATATCATTTCAAGTTGTCCATAATGAAATCTTTGTTTTGCTAATTGATGTATCAGCTGCTATCTGTTTTATGCTGGAGGATTGGAGTGGCATGGACAGGGAAAAAGCCTAGGACTACATCTTAAATTGCAAGGTGTGCCTGCATTGCTCTACTGTGTTATCATGCTTCCATTTTATCTTTATTAGGCATATACTATGGCATGTATACTGAAGAAGTGGTTTTATTCTTTCAGTCTTATGATGGTGGCTTTGGCTTGATGCCTGGTTTAGAATCACATGGTGAGTTAGAGTTAAATAATATCTCATCTGATTGCTGATTAATGTTCTGTCAACTCCATGCATCTAGGGTGGACCTAATCACTGTTTCTCTGCAACTTTATCGTTGCTCATAGTTAACTGATACCAGTTCCTTTTCCCCCCGCATGCTACTTTTATCCAATCTTTACATTGACTAGTGTAATTTGCTGGTGGGTCTATATTTCAGCAGTAAAAGTTTATTCATGAAGCAGCCCCGGTCTTTTATTTCTTTAAGTTCATGATTATGTTCACTTTGATGATAACACCAACAGCATTAGTCTTAGAGATGCAGGGGGTGGTACGTATTGTGCTGTGGCATCTCTTCGGTTAATGGGGTACATTGAAGATGATCTTCTGTCAAAAAATGCAACATCTTTCGTCATAAATGTGCCACTATTGCTGGACTGGTGTATGCAGGTTTATTTCTGTCATTTAGCATCTAGAAGCATCACTTAACGTGCGGGGAGTTTTTAGCTCAATATATAGATATAGACAATGGACCTCTTAAAAGCCAACTTAACTTAAAAAGTGCATCAACGTCAAAGCAAATTTTTAGATGATTCAATATTGTTATCTATGGGCAAACTCGATTTTTGAGCTGAATGTTAGGCAATACCTGCATTCATTTTGCCTCAAGAATAATTTCATCCTTTCTCCTGTCATTTCTCAAACAGAGGCAGGCAAATGATGGTGGATTTCAAGGAAGAGCCAATAAATATAGTGATGCATGCTACGCATTTTGGTAAGGATAAGAAAAGCCTTTGTTCTTTTCAGTGTATAAGCTGCCTTTGATTTGATGACATGTTGTTCATGTGTAGGGTTGGGGCAGTTTTGAAGATCTTAGGGGGCTACAAATTAATAGACAAGATTGCTTTACGCAGATTTTTGCTGACTTGTCAATCTGAGGTACTGATACTGCTTATTTGCACTTGATCTAAATTTAGCATGGATTCAAACAAGCAGCCTCTAATGGTGTAACCGGAGGTGAAGCCAATGGGGTCAAATATGGGGTTTCAACACTGAACTACACATCACTCAAGCTCCTCCCTTTCTTTGATTTAGCTTCCTCAGACTCCAAATCCTCCTTTGTTTCTTCAACAATGGTGAACAATAACCTTGGTGACCCATCACCATCATCATCATCGTCATAGGGCTTGAAGAACAAATCTTTGTTTGATTGCAGATGATGAACCTGATGAGATGGTTGCTGTTGGGTTTCCTGTGGATTCAAAGCTGATTTTTTCCAGCAAAACATGTAATACAACTCGGCAATCAATGCTAAGAACAGAAGAACAAAGTATGCTCAAACCAAGCCCTACACTGCTCAAAGATTTCATCTTTTTACATCACAAAAACTACTGAAAAAATACTTCAAAATCTTCCACTCAAAACTACCCTTTCATCAGTTCAAGAAACAAGTGAAAACCCCAAGAAAAAAACACTAAAAACTAAGAAAAAAAACAAGGGATAATGAGAGGTTTCAATCAAAATAACAAAAACCCGGAAAGTGAAGGAGGAGTAAAGTGAACTTTGACCAGAAAGATGAAATATCCCCCACTCCAAAGTGAGTTGCATGATTATCAGAGCTCTCTTTTCTTTCTTAAAAGCATTAGAAATATACAAGTATTCAGTTTTTATCCTTATTTAGTTATGGGGAATAAAATTTTACCGACAATATATCAAATAATTATTTCAATATCATTAATATTATGTATATATATACATTTAATTTAAATTCGAATTGATCTAACTAATAACATATCTAGATTTCGAGTTTAAGTGATTTGGAATTTTAAGATGTTTCTTTTTTGGAGAGCCACTAGCTAAAAGATTAAACAAGGTTTGAGCAAATTCCTTTGTATTTTTATGGTTGAGAGGCCGTTGGCCTCGAGGGATGGGATCACAATAAAAAGAACGGTAACGTATAATTGGCCAAACCCACAGGTAAACTTTAAAATGTTTCATCAATGAGTTTTCATATTGAGTAAATTGCACAAATAGTCATCGACTATATGATATTATTTTGTTGAGTCTTTCGATTATTAAAAGTTATAAAATAGTTTATCGATTATAAGACATTGCTTTGTTGAGTTATTCGATTATTAAAAGTTTACTCAACTATTCATATGTTTCAAACTCGTCATTTTTTGTTAAAAAATTGACGGTCATCTGAGTTGAAAGTTAATTTGTTGATTGAGATATGGTAAAATCTAGTCATAGAATCTCAAATGATATACAATTCAAACATTTATTGAATAAGATTTTATCATATTTTAGTCAGTAAGTTAGGATCTGTTTGTTTAGTTGTAATTGGTTTTCCAGAAAATGAATTACTGGAATTTGAATTACTGGAATTTGAATTACTGGAAAATGAATTACTGGAATTTGAATTCTGGAAAATGAATTACATTTCTGTAAAATGAATTACATTTCTGGAAAATGAATTACATTTCTGGAAAACATCTGGAAAACGTTTTATGATGTTATTTAAACATTTTTTCGGTATATTTTAGTGAAATAAAATTTTATAAATTATATTAATTATTTATTAAAGTAATAGTACTATATTATATTTTAAAAATATTAATTAGTATATTTACTAAAATATTATTGAAATATATAAATAATATTATTCATTATTAAATATATATAAAAAAAATTATTATATATTATTAAAATAAAAATATAATATCTTATATTATTATAATATAATTGATTATTTTATATAATATTAAAAATATAATATTATATTATTATAAATATTAATAAATATATATTTTAAATATTTTAATAATTAATATTTTGATGAAAATGATATTAAAATATTTTATTAATATTAAATTCATAAAATAAAATTATTTTGAGTATTTTTGCTTTGAAGTGAAAAGTTCGGAAAATAACTTACGGAAAATGAATCCGTAAGTCATTTTACAGAAAACACAAAGGAAATTCTGTTACTAGGAAAATGAATTACATTCCGGAAAACAAATTACGTGAAACAAACACGGGAAAACGTTTTCCGGAAAATGAATTACGTGAAACAAACACGGGAAAACATTTTCCGGAAAACGAATTACGTGAAACAAACACGGGAATTCGGGAAAAACCAATTCCGTAATTCCAATTACGGGAAACAAACAGACCCTTAATGTCCAGCTTAGACAATCATCAATTTTTTTAACAAAAAATGACGAGTTTGAAACATGTGAATAGTCGAGTGACAATTTTATAAATTTTAATAGTCAAGGGACTCAACAAAATAATATCTTATAGTTGAGAGATAATTTTATAATTTTTAATAGTCGGGAGACTAAACAAAACAACACCATATAGTTAGGGACTATTTGTATACTTTAGGATAATTTAGAGGTGTTTTGCAATATTTCAACTCGACCAAACCCACTGGTAACGTTTCGGTAACATCCTCTTCGAATTGAGGCAAACACAATACATACATTCCATCATCATCGACCATACCCGTGCCCTTTCAATTTCATCATCGCATGTTGTTGTTGATCTTGTTGTGTTGTTCGACCTCGGGTGTTACTATTATATCAATAGATCGTTACGACCAAGGCCGCCGATCTCGTGCCGACTAAAACAATGGATGATCTGCTGTGTGCGAAACCGTCGTCGTTGTCATCTTCCATGACAGAGAGGGACATGGAAAATGTTGCAAACTTCTTTTTATGGGAAGGAATTTTATGTAAGTTTGGGCATTGCTTTGGTCGATGATTGTAAAGATTAGCATTGTCTTATGATGAATATTAAAAAGTTTAGTGAAAGTTACATTATCATTTTTTTTTTGTGTTTTTATATGTAAATGTTTACCATTTAATTCATATTATTAAAATATTTATTTATTAAAATATCTACTCGATAAGTAAATATGTACTTATAATTTAGGGTAAAATATACAAATGGTCGTCTTGCTATTCAGATGTCTCAAATTTGTCATTTTCCGTTAAAAATATAATGGTCGTCTGAATTGAATGTTAACATGCTCATTGAGATGTGATAGAATATGATCTCATAACTGTTTGAGTTGTATTTTTTGGAACGAGTCACTGTTTACGTTATAGCCTTGAGTCATGTTGAAATATTATGTTGTCTAACTAGTGTTTGAAAGCAACAGCAGTGCCAGTAGATATTATTAAAATATAATTTATCATATCTCAGAAAGAAGTTTAATGTCGAGCTCAAACAGTTGATGATTTTCTAACGAAAAGGGAAGAGTTTGAAACATATGAATAGTTGTGTTATCATTTTATAACTTTTAATAGTCGATAGACTCAACAAAACATCGCCCTATAATTGGGGGATCATTTTGTAACTTTTAATAGGTGAGGATTCAATAAAAAAAATACCCTATAATCGAGGATCATTTGTATATTTTACCCTTTAATTTAATTTGTGTGTTTTTTTATTAATGTAATATGCTTATAAGTGATAGTATTTGTTTTATATACTCTCAACCATTGACAATGAATACTTACATACCCTCTAATGTCTAATACTTAAACTTAGGTCATCTGAGAATAACAACCATACTTTTAATTCATATATTATACACATACTCTGCGTAATATTAAAATTGACAGTCGAAGAATATATATTTATATAACCCCATATTAAACGCATCAATGAAAAATAAATCAATTCACGCACAGATTTACCAAAGTAGTTGAACAATATATATATAAGTAGAAACATTGAAAGGATTGAATCCAACATATTAATATTCAAGGCTTGGATGGTGGATGCCTATTTCCTCTCGGATTTGGAGCAGATGGAGCCTTTTTCATGTTTTCATCCACCTTCGTTCCGCTTCCCTTCATTGTCACACACAACAATATTCAGACTAATAAATATTCCGATCGTCTCATAATCTAATTCACATGTAATAATCAAGACGGATGCAATATTTTATATAAAGGGACTAACTTAAAAACTTTTAGAAAATGAAAACATATTTATCAATAAAAAATATAAAAAAATCTAAATAATTTAAAATTTTCATAAGGATGGCTATCCGTCCGTTTTTCTCTATCCATCCGATGATGTATATATATATATATGAAAACTTACCCAAGTAGGCAAGAAAAATCTGTTGACAGAATCTGGATTTAGCTTAGCAGGTCTGATCATCTTCATATCATCGTTAACTGGAAACACAGAGTATTACAGTGTTTTGATAAAATTGTTCGAAAACATATTTTTTTAATAGTATAAATGATTATAACATAGCATATGTTTAAAATTATTTCTTAGTCATTAATAATGTATGTCTTATAGATACAATTATTCGAACCTGAAACCTTTAAGGAGAATAATAATTTATTTTATTACTGAGGTCATTCAATGTGTTCGAAGACATATACATGTTTGATTAAGACAAAACAAAGAAACCAGAGAAGTACTTGCCTGTTTCCATGGCTATTGATAATAGCGAAGATGTAAGAAGAGCAAGGAGCAGATAGGGGAGAAGGAGTTGGGTTTTGATCTTCATGCTTGTTCGGCTCCAATTGTGTGTGTATGGGCTGGGGTATTTATGGAGGACAAAATGGGTTAATTAATGATGATTTAGTTTGAAAAACATGGCAACTGTTGCTATATCTGTACGGGAATCCAATGCTTTTTTCTTTTCTTTTTACAAATTTGGATTATGCATGTAAAGCTGGCAACAATAATGTGGGATTTTTATTCCTTGGCGTTTCACGTTGACTCCAGCTGATGGGGCCAAACCATGTGATTGAGCTATTTATTTCTTCAAGTATAAGTAGAAGTAAAGTGATTGTTTAATAGAATCGAGTTATTTATAAATATCTTTCTATCATTCCAATTTTATTTAAATTGTTTTAAGTTAAATTTATAAAATTTAAATCATGTGAAATTGAATATATTTATATCATATATATTTTTATATTCAATACCCACATAAATTTAAATAACACTCAGTCCATCGTTGATTGTCTCTACAGATTTAGGGATGGACATCAGTTGGATTTATGATCAACTCGACCAGATTTGAAAAATTACGCCTTCACCTGAAAATTAATTTGACTTGAGCTTAGGGTGACTTCATACAATCATCTTTTGAGATAAAACTTGAATCTGACTTGACCAATCATAAATATATTTATAAAAAAATCTTAATTTTGTTTGATTAAATAAAAGTCTGATTGAAATAAATAATATAAAAAAATATTATAACAATTATCCTTAAATATAAAAAGTATAATTATATTATTTTTTACATTGGGTTATATATTTTTATCTAAATCTGAATCAGACTAGACCCACTTCATATCTAAACCCTAACTGTTCTATGCCTATCTTTTTTTCTTTACAATTCATGTCATTTTTTATAGATCAAATCAACTTTTTCTTCTTTGATTTTATTTAGCCAACAGTGACATTGATTTTGATACTGGTTGCCGACTATCGATTGTATTTTTTCTTTGTTTTTTTAGTTTTGTAATAAGAATAATTCTTTCTTTGTGACACATTTTTCTTTACCTTTTGGTAGTTTTCGATCGTTTGATCGTTGCCTTTGTTTATTTTTTTTCTCAGGGTTAGATTTGACATTGTCACGACTGATCAAGATGACACTTATTTGCTATAATGTTGATCTTCCCTGCTTTGGACTCTTGAATTGATTTAGATACGCATTTTGCGTTCATGGATAGTTTTCTCACGTCGTGTGATTCTGATTTGTGATTTGTCGGTGGTCTTTCAGTAGTTTGATCTCATTTTGTGGTTCGTTTGTCGATGTTGTCAGATTTGTTCGTATCTTTATTTTATTCGAGCATTTTAGTTATGTTTTTTAACATTTTCCTTATTTGGTCCTTGTATGATCTAGATGACTAGTTTTTATGTTAATGAGTATAAGAAAATATACTAATTATAATTTAGTTTACGTTTACAGTCATACTTGTGAATCTTCGTTATAATTATAATTCTAAATATTTTTTATTTGTTTAATAAAACTAACGGAATTCTATTGTAAAAAAATCAAATTGAATTCCATTGAGTTGAAATCCGTTGCCATCCCTATACATACAATACAAAAGTTGATGAGAAGTAACAACGGGTGCTTTGTACATGGGGAAGTTAATTGTTGGTTCTTGTAATAAAGTAAGAGAATAGAACTGTCCAAAAATGGTTGTGTTTTACGACGTGACATTGGCATCCCCATGTTCTTCACGACTACTTGTTGGGTGGTAAACTAAATCTATTTGTGGAATAATAGTTCTTAAAACATGCTTCTACTTTTACATTATTATACAATTCGTGACCAAAAACTCTATAGTTTCCATCTCAAATTAATTCCATTTAAGATATAAAATCGATAAATCATTAATAATTGAATGATGTGATAATTTAAACTTGATATAAAAAAATTTAAAATTTTTTTTATTTATCTTATCATTTTCTTCGTTAAAGTTATAAATTTTTCACTTTTTTATTCTAAACGCTTGTAAATTCCTCTTACCTCTTATACCACTTTATTGAATTAGATTTTATCAAAATCTCTTTAAAACTATAAAATTAAACATAAATTTCTTTAGATTTTTTGTGGGGTTTGAGAATTTTTTTTTGAATTTAAAAGGTTTGATGTGTTTGTTCAAATCCAAATGAACAATATATTATAAAATTAACCTAATCGAATAGTCGTCCGAAGAGAATGAAGTATTACAAATATTTAGATGATTTGTCGTTGATTTTGAGTGAGTTTTGTGAAAAATCAATTTGATAAGAAAATATGAGTGAAATATGAACATATTGGTATTTATCTTATCACGGTTAACAATTAATGATAGACAAAGATTAATTAACAATGACAATAAAAGAAATTGTCGATTTTCTATGTGAATGAAATTAATAGATAAACTAAAATTTAGTGTCTAAAATTAGAATTTTTTTAAAATTTAATGATAAAATTGAATGAAAGTTTACCGATAGAAACTACCAAGATATCACTGCGTTAATAATTCATAAGATATACACCATGAAGAGAATGTTTTGCAGCTCTTTCAAGGAGTAGAGTGTGTTGACAAAAACTCCATTGGAGTGGAAACCCCACTCGGCAAATATAGAAAAGAAAAAGGGTAAAAACAAAACACACTTGAAACCTGGATCTGTGTAATAATGGTGTCTTGCCTCATTGACTCCATAAATGGGACAAAGCTGTAATCATTAAATTTTTGTTTCTATGCATCTCTCAGGGATTTTGTAGATTTCATTACCTAATTCATTACATTGGGGTTTCCTGTTATGCTTTGGTTCTCCTCTAACTATTTATCTGACTTATCCACTCTGTCGTATTAGTTTCGAGTTCGAGTCGGGATAATTATTTTAGGATAAATTATCTATTCAGTCATCTAACTATTTGTGTGATACTATTTTTCTAAATCATACTTATTGTTATGTTTTTAATTTTATTTTAATCACTTCCCGTTAAAAAATCAATGGTGATGTTGACTTGTCACTTTAGTAGTTATGTTAATGTTTTAACAGCGGTGACTAAAATAGAACCAAAATGTAACATTATATATGATTGTGAAAGAAAAATACAGTTTGATGACCAAAACATAATCACATGAAAATTTGGGTGACTAAATACACAGTTTACCTTTTGTTTTATCACAAAATGATATTTCATAGGGCAAACTACATGTTTTAGTACCCAACTATCACTTTTATTTCGTTTTGGTCACCTAATTATTTTTTTTCCAAAAGCACACCTAACATTACGTTGGTTTCATTTTGGTCACACACAGTAACAAAACTAACAGAAATGCTAACATGATATTTTTATGTTAATTTTTCTTCAATGATGGTGTGGCGTTATCTTACGGGGACACATCAACATCACAATTAGTATTTTAACGGTGGGTGACCAAAATAAAACAGAAACTAAACGTTAAATATGATTTAAAAAATAGTCAGATGACCAAAACGAAACAAAAATGATAATCATAACACTATTTTATATTGATTAACATGAACATATAGATCATGTTATATTGTTGAATAACAAATAACTTCTTTCTTCTATGATGTTTAAATATCATGAGTATAATTTGAGAGAGATGTGAAAGTAAAAGTCTTTATAATGGATTTTTCGATGATATGTATCAACTTATTGCAAAATCTCTCTTCGTGATTTCCAAAAGAGAATAAAGGAAGCCCTCGGTTGGCGGAACATCGTGGGGCCGATTATTTTTTAATTATTATTTAATATTGGAAAAACATATATTTAAAAAAAAATTCTACTAAGTGTCCCCGCTTTAAAAAAAATTATATTCATAGAAAATAAAAAATATTTTAATCACTGTTCTAATAAATTTTTAATTCCCTTCGCCCTCTACACAAAATCAAAATGATTATTATTACCTAGATCAAGTCTTCAATTTCATGGAGTGTATCTTAACAATTTTCATATGATTAGGGCCTTAGTGTTTTTTGTTGCTATCTTAAGATGTTGCAGTTATAGAATCTTTTACTTTTGAAAATGAAATTATATAATCAGACAATTTCTTTTATAAATATGAGATAAGTATAATATAATACTATATAGAGATTTTAATTTTTTTTGACAATAAACGATCATATCTCTACATACAATGTAATATATGTTCAACCATACTTAAATTCATAATATCTTTTAATGTTTTTAGGATTTGAAAGCAGTAAATTTGAATTAAGACCTTATTTGTGTAAACCATTAAATAGGGTAAGATAAATCTACATTAACCATTTAACCTTAAGGTTAAACTTTAAATCTTATAATTTAAATTATAAATGTGACAAATATAAAAAATTAGCTGACCCTATTCCCATGTGTAATGGGATAAGGGGAGGTAAGATAGTAGGCTGCCCCCAACGCAAGGTTGAGAGCAGCTTCCGTGAGAGACCTCCGGCAGCCAGAATTATGAATTACCCACTGTGATACTCGATCCCACGACCACAAGGTTAAGAGTCTTACGCTCTAAAATGTGACAAACATCATTGAAATAAATAAATTTATAAAAATAAAAGCTTATACAACTTGTGTATTATATTTTTTTTAATATTATGTGGTTTCTAAATGTCTTGAAAGGTAACCATTTCAAGGATGAGAATATGTCAATGTTGACTTGTTTTATGATTTTTTCAGGGTAGGTTAAAGTTGGTTTCGTTGGTTAAATAATTCAAGCATAAAAAAGTTCAAAAAACAGAGGTGTTTGATAATTATTTTGATATATAAGTACTTTGTTATAGTGTACGTGAAATTTATCACATTGGATGACGAGTTTCATAAAATATATTAAAAAATTAAAACTCGTCATGAGAAGATGACAAGCTCCAAAAACTTTTGTTCCATTTCATATAATGGATTCAATTTTTATGATATATTTTTATTGAACTTATCACCTTCATGACGAGTTCTACGTGCAATGTAATAAATGGTCAAAATCCCAAAATAATTCTCAAACACCTCAATTTTTCAAAAAAATTCTGCCC